CTGCATTATATATCAGTATCATTCATTACAACAACCAATTTAGGAAAGTAACACCATTAGGCTATTCCATCAAAAAGGCATCTGACATAATTCAAGAACCATTCCTAAAAAAAATACAAATCAAGACAGGAACATGTGAAAACTATAAGGACACCATCAGGAAAGTGAAAAGACACAGAGGCTGGGCACGGTGGCTCATGCCTGTAATCCCAGCACTTTGGGAGGTGGAGGCAGGTGGATCACTTGAGGCCAGAAGCTCGAGAGCAGCCTGGTTGAAATGGCAAAACCCTGCCTCTACTGAAAATACAAAAATTAGCTGGATGTGGTGGTGAGTGCCTATAAAACCAGCTACTTGGGAGGCTGAGGCAGAAGAATTGCTTGAACCTGGGAGTTGGAGGTTGCAGTGAGCCGAGATGACACCACTGCACTGCAGCCTGGGCAACAGAGTGAGACTCCATCTCAGGAAACAAAAACACCTGCACAGAATGAGGGGAAATACATGCAAATCACATTTGTGACAAGGGACTTGTATGCAGATTATCTATACAACTTGATAATACAAAGACAATTCAATTTAAAAATAGGCCAAGGATTTGAATAGATATTTCTTCAAAGATATACAAATGGCCAATAAGTACAGGAAAAGATGCTCAACATCAGTGGCCACTAGAGAAATAGAAATCAAAACCATGAGATACCACTTCACACTTAACTAGGAAGGCTAGAATTAAAAAGACAATAAGTATTAGCAAGGATGTGATAAACTGGAACCCTCATACATTGCTGTCAGGATATAAAGTGATACAGTCGTTTTGGAAAACAGTTTGACAGTTCTTCAAAATGTTAAACATAGAAGGCTGGGCACAGTGGCTCACGCCTGTAATCCCAGCACTTTGGGAGGCTGAGGCGGGTGCATCCCTTGAGGTTAGGAGTTCAAGACCAGCCTGGCCAACATGGTGAAACCCCATTTCTACTAAAAATACAAAAATTAGCTGGGTGCGGTGGTGGGTGCCTGTAACCCCAGCTACTCGGGAGGCTGAGGCAGGAGAATCACTTGAACCTGGGAGGTGAAGTTTGCAGTGAGTGGAGTTAGTGCCACTGCACTTCAGCCTGGATGACAGAGCGAGACTCTGTCTCAAAAATAAAAATTAAAACAAAAATAAATAAAATAAATAAAGGTGCTGGGTCCATAGGAAAACTATCAAATAGTATAGTTTTAATGGTTATTTGTGAAACTAGATAAAATAGTTTTAACATTCATATGGAAGAATAAACACACAAGAAAATTAATGAAAGCAACCAAAAAGAAAGTGAGGCGGACTAGTGCTATTTGATATTAAAACTATTTCTTTCTTTTTTTTTTCTTTTTTAGGAATGTCAGGACTCACTAGCAGTACTGAAATATTTCTAAAGTCAATATGATTTTTTTAAAAAGGAGTAGATACATATATCAGAAGAACTAAACAGAGTTCAGAAATAAAACAACACACATTTGGGAACTTATGTGACAAAAGTGACATTTAATTGAATTAGAAAGGGTATTCATTTAATGACTGGTGCTGGCAAATTAGCTATCCAAATGGAATATACGAACCGAGTCCATCTCATACCATAACCAAAATAAATTCCAGTTAGATTAAAATTTCACTTAAAAAATTGAAACAATAAATATATTAAAAATAAGGCATATTTGTTTGAACACGAAATGGGGAGAAGTCACTAGGCAAGACAAGACACTCAGAACCTGTAAAGGAAAAAGGCAGATATATCTTAATAGATAATTTTTAAAAAATCAAATGTAAAGACAGCTTTCAAAAGTCATAATAAAGAGATTGAGGAAATATAGTTATAATACAGGTTAATATTCACAACTTAGCAAGAAAGACAAACCACCAAAAGGAAAAAAAGAGCAAAGAATATGAAGAAGTTTAAATATATATTTCAACGGCCAATAAGTATGAAATAATGTCCAACTACTAGTTGTCAGGAAAATGCACGTCAAGGTAAACTAGATACCCTTGTGTTTGGCCCTCAGAATGGGGAAAATTAAAAAAAAAAATCTCACAAGGTCAAGACATCGAGGCCATCCTGGCCAACATGGTGAAACCCATCATTACTAAAAAATACAAAAAAATTAGCTTAGTGTGATGGTGCAGCCTGTAGTCCCAGCTACTTGGGAGGTTGAGGCAGGAGAATCACCTGAATCCGGGAGACAGAGGTTGCAGAGAGCTGAGATAGAGCCACTGCACTCCAGCCTGGTGACAGAGCAAGACACCATCTCAAAAATTAAAAAAGGCCGGGCGCAGTGGCTCACACCTGTAATCGCAGGACTTTGGGAGGCCGAGGGGTGTGGATCACAAGGTCAAGAGATCCAGACCATCCTGGCCAACATGGTGAAACCCTGTCTCTACTAAAAAATACAAAAAAATCAGCTGGGCATGGTGGCGCGTGCCTGTAATCCCAGCTACTCAGGAGGCTGAGGCAGGAGAATTGCCTGAACCCGGGAGGCGGAGGTTGCAGTGAGCCGAGATTGCGTGTGTGCCTGTAGTCCCAGCTACTCGGGAGGCTGAGGCAGGAGAATTGTTTGAGTTCAGGAGGCGGAGATTGCAGTGAGCTGAGATTGCACCACTGCACTCCAGCCTGGCGCCTGGCGACAGGGCAAGACTCTGTCTCAAAAAAAAAAAAAAAAAAAAAAAAAAAAAAAAAAAAAAAAAAAAAAGATTCAGTGCGGAAGAGGATTTTGGAAGAAGCCTTTTTATATGTTGCTGACAGGAGATCCAATTTTACAAAAGTTTTGAAAAGTAATTTGGAGATATGTGTTGAACTTAAAAGCATCATTCCTCCATGTAATGATCACTCAGGTGACAGCCTCTGACCACAATTTAGAAGTCAAAAACAAAAATGTCAATGATTTGGGAAATCAAAATCTCATATCTAAATAACCCAAAGGTAAGAGTGAACACTGCAACTGCAATTAGAAAACATTAGAAGGAAACTATAGTGGAGATGCTACATATCAAAACTTGTGGGTTGGACGCAGTGGCTCTCGTCTGTAGTTACAGCACTTTGGGAGGATGAGGTGGGGGGACTACTTGAGGATTGCTTGAGGCCAGGAGTTCAAGACCAGCCTGGGCAACAGAGCAAGACCCCAATCTCTACCCAAAAATTTAAAAATTAGCTGGGCAAGCTTGCCTGTAGTCCCAGCAACTTGGGAGGCTGAGGTTGGAGGATCACTTGAGCCTAGGAGGTTGAGGCTGCAGTGAGCCATGACGGCTCCACTGTACTCCAGCTTGGGCGACAGAGAGAGATTCTTGTATCTTAAAAAAAAATCTTCAGGTGAGGTCTTCCTAAAAGAATTTTAATAAGAAAAAAAAAATCAGCCTGGGGAATTCAGTGAGACCCTGTGTCTACACAAAATAAAAAAGTAGTGGGTGTGGAGCACAGGCCTGTAGTTCCAGCTACTTGGGAGGCTGAGTTGGGAGGATCGACTGAGCACAGGTTGAGGCTGCAGTGAGCTGTGATCACGCCACTTGTACTCCATCTCTGGGGGACAGAGTGAGACCCTGTCTCAAAACAAAACAAAACAGCAGCAGCAACAACAAAAACACGTGGCATGGAGCTAAAGTGTTCTTAGGAGAAAAATTTATAAACTGAATGTTCATATTATAAAATAAAATGACTGGATAGTAAGAGATAAGCATTCAATTCAGGACTTTAAAATGAGAACAAAAGAAAAGAAAAGAAAAGAAATAACATAGTTAAGGGCAGAAATTAATGACAGAGAAACAAAGATACAGGAGTATCAACAACGAAGTCAAAAGTAGGTTTTTAAAACAACCTCATCCCAGACGTAAAGACCACCTATCACTGACCCCAGAAGCTGCATATCTGATTCCACAGACCCCGCCCCATTACTAGTCCCAAATAAACGCATCACTCACCCAGCAGAAACCTTGAGCAATCACCCAATAGACCCCATCCCACACCTCACAAACCTCCAGTATTCACCCCGCACAGCCCCTTCTCACCCCAGACTTCTCTTCACTCATCTGACATATACCCTATCACTCACCCTAGAGACCCTGTGTCACTCACCCCAGAGACCCTGTATCTCTCACCCCACAGACGCCCTTATCATTCACTCCAGTGTTCCCATCACTCAGCCCACAGGCTACCCATCATCTTTCTCTAGTGACCCCATCACTCACCCACAAACCCCACTCACTCACTCTCCGAACCTCCCTATAAATGACCCCAGAGAAGCCTTCTCACCCTACTGAGCATCATCATTGAGTACGAAATCCATGTCATAACGTCACCATAATTATCTCAATGCTTGATCCATGTCATAACATCCCCATAATTATCTCAATGCTTAAGTGGCCCTAGGTCCGTCTGTTGAACTCACTCCCAGAGCCTTAAGTGCTGAAAACTGCTTCGAGGGACCCCGGCGCTTCACGATTTGATTTGCACATGCTCAGTGTCAGCTCCGAAGCGGCCGCTCGCCCACAATGACACCTGGTGCCCTTACACCGCGTCGGTGCATGCGCGTGTGCGTCGAAGGAGAGGCGGCCTTTCCAATTTCCTTCAGTGACTGTCAGGCAAGAAACATGGCTGTCCCCTAGGGAGTGTCTCTACGGGAGCCGCCATCTTGGAAGGGTGGTCATTTCAGCCGTGAAGCCCGCGGTTCCCTACCCGATATTCCCCTGTGGGATTTCCAGTGGCCGAGGCACTGGGCCATGGAATGTACCACCGGGCTTCTCCCTCTCCGCCGCAGCCTCTAGGAGTCAGTCACCTCCGAGGCCCCAGCGGGCGGCGCGCTTTGCCTCTTCAGCCCTCAGGATGCCCTCGGCCTCAGGCCGTCCCCTCTGGGGAGCCTCCGCTTCTTTAAGTATCACCCAGCCCCCGCCCCCGCCCCCGCCCCCGCACTGCTCTGTGGTACGCGGCGACCCCCTCTCCGCGGCGGCCGGCACCCCACGCCCGCCCCGTCCCGAGCCCACCTGGCGGCCCCGCTGGCGACAGCTCCAACCTGGGCCCCGGTCGGCTGTGGGAAATGCCCGGTGTCTTGGCTATCACCGAACCTGTGCGGTTGCCGCCGTGGCGGGGGCGGGAGGGGGGGAGTCGTTCGTATCAGATTTAGGCCAGGAAGCGGAAGTCGCTTGCAGCAAGAGTTTAACCTGTGTGGGCGCGGAGGGTTGCGGGGATTCAGCGCCCGGGACTGTCGATGTGTGCAGGGAGTCATGGGTGTGTGTGACATCAGTGGTGGAGCATCTTGGTTCATGTTCACAATTCAGCCATTAGCCTTTCTGCTTTCCTCGTGAAAGCATTAAGGTTGAAGTTGTCTTCTAAAGATCCAAGTTTTGATTTGTTATATTAGTTTGGATTTGTTGGATTTTTTTCGTGTTCGGTTTCAAGTGCTGATTTGTAACTGTTCCCCCGCACACACCTTTTGACCCCTGAATTATTTAAAAGTCCATTGTCCGGGTGGCAAACATCCTCCGAGACTCAAAGGGCAAGGCCATGGGCCTTTTATTCCGGCTGCTGCTCCAGGGAGAACACACAAACGCGGTGTCTCCAGGAATGTGGGAAAGGAGTGGAGTTTTATTCTAGGAGAAGGAAACAAAGGCGGCCGAGTGCCAGCTGCACGTTCGCTGGGCTTTGGTCAGCAGGGGTGGACACGCTGCCCAACGGAGCCGGAGCCGTAGGCAATTTGACCCAGCTCGGTCTATCGAGTCCTTTTCTAAGGATCGATTCAAATAAGAAATTTAGACGGACTGCAGAAAATATTAGAGGTTCTAACACCATTTTGCGTTTCCACAAACGAACAAGAAGTTAATCCTTAAGTCAGTGATTTCTAAGCCTGATTTGCCTTGCGGCCCAAGAACGTTGAGCTTGAAATTTGTTGAAACTTGCTTTAAGGCTCAGGTACGAGACCAGCTTTCAAAAATGGTTTTGTGTCTTGATTGAAAAGACTCTGTCTTCCAGTTGTTGGGTTTATCATACTCTATGGCTCTATTGGTTCAAGCTTGTGCGTTAGGCCGTTTAAAATGTGTGTTTCCTGATAATTCCCTTCAGCTTGTCAACTGAGGGTGGGGGAGTGGGGAGAGAGAAGAGAGAGACTGTCTTGTCAGGTTTTCCTTGTGCTATTAAATCTTTTGCTTCCTATATTTTGAAATTTTATTATTAACTGCAGATAACGGTGTACTGAATAGATATAGCCAAATTCCTTCCCACAAAAGATTGCAAGGTTTCCTAGTCCCACCAGCAAAATCGTTAAGTTCATTAAGGCAAATCCCCTCCAGCGCTGGAGGTTGATGCTGTCTTTAATGTTGTGTTTTTTTGACAAGTTGTCCAACTGAGAATTGTTTTGGTCTGTTGGCCATTTAGGTTTTCTCTTTTGCAAATTTTCATATCCTTTGTCCAGTTTTCTTTGGGGTGATTTGTCCTTTTCAATTTGTAAACAGTGTACAAATTACATTGTATGTTAGGAATATTAACAGTCTGTCAGTTATGCTGTACATTAGGGATATTACATTAGAGATATTAATATCTTTGTACGTTAAGGATATTAATCATCTGTCAATTACATTGCAGTATTTTTCCCTGAACTCTTTTTGTCTTTTGCATTTTATGTTTTATTTAAATGTGCAATGAGAAAAATTTTATGTGGGCTGAGTGCAGTGGCTCATGCCTGTAATCCCAGCACTTTGGGAAGCCTAGGCTGGTGGATCACCTGAGACCTGGAGTTTGAGACCAGCCTGACCAACATGGTGAAACCCCGTCTCTACTAAAAATAATTTTAAAAAAATAGCTGGGCGTGGTGGTGGATGCTTGTAATCTCAGCTACTCAGGAGGTTGAGGCAAGAGAATCGCTTGAACCCGGGAGGTGGAGATTGCAGTGAGCCGAGCTGGCACCACTGCACTGTAGCCTGTGTGACAGAGCGAGGCTTCGTCTCAAAAAAAAAAAAAAAAAAAGAAAAATTTTATGTGTTCTTTTTTAATATGTAATTAGTGAAATGTAGCCTCTGATCAGATATGTCTAAACTTTCTTTTATGGCTTTTGTGTATCCCATCTTGCCTAGTTTCCCTTCCCTATTCTAGATGGAAGGATAATCTTAACATTTATACATTTATTTCAGTGTTCTTCCTTTCTTCCCTCCCTCCCTCCATCCCTCCCTCCCTTCCTTCCTTTCTTTCAAAGGAGCCTTGCTGAATGCAGTGGTGCAATCTTGGCTCACTGCAACCTCTACCTCCCAGGTTCAAGCGATTCTCCTGCCTCAGCCTTCTGAGCAGCTGGGACTACAGGCACACGCCACCTGGCTAATTTTTGTATTTTTAGTGGAGATGGGGTTTCACCATGTTGGCCAGGATGGTCTCGATCTCCTGACCTCGTGATCCGCCCACCTCGGCCTCCAAAAGTGTTGGGATCACAGGTGTGAGCCACTGTGCCAGGCCTATTGCTTTTTTTCTACTTTAATCTAGTTGGAATTTACTCTGGTGTATGGTATGAAATCGAGATCAAGCTTGAACAAGAAAAGAAGCCTGTGTCATGCTTTTTTCCGTGTCAAATAAAAACAGAGACTTTCATTAGAAAGATAGACTATTGCAAAAGGGAGAATGCTCCCATCTCAGAAACCTGAGAGCATCTTGAAACCAAACAGAAGAAAAAAGCTTTTCTTGTAGAGGCTAAGGAGGCCGGCAGAGATAAGCAGAATCTGTGGAGAGGAAGCTCCACAAACAAGGGGGAATGGCCAGTGGAGTCTGCCGGGAAAGTGTGCCACTGTGGTCGGCCCATTCTCAGGAGAAGCTGAGAAGCAGGGTCCGTTGCAGGGGGTGGAGGGGATTTCTACTTTTTTTGATGCTTGCGCAGGCTTGGGAGCAAGCACAGTCCAGGAGCTTGTAGGAAAGAACCGTAGTTCAAGTTTGGCTAAAGAGCATTTTGTTCTGATTGATCAGTGGGAATAAGCAGGCTTATCATTTATGAGACAAAGAATGGGAATTTGGAGGGTGGGTGTCTGGCCTTCTCATAGGTAAACAGGGGCATCTGTGATTTCTAAGTCATATGGGGAAGGATGATTCTTTACAGTAAGCCATTTTTCAGAAAAGCCGTTTTCCCTTTAGAGTAAGAGTATTTCTTGACCTGCACTGCTCACCAGAATGAGGTGTCAATATTGTCAGCTGGCACTATTTATGGTACACACCACCCTGTACCTACTGAATTAAATATCGTTTCTGTCATGTAAGGTCACAAATATACTTAGCTTGACTTGAAGTCTATTTTGTGTCTATAATCTATTTAATTTCAAGGGATTTTTGTTCTTACAAATTTATTTTCTAGGAATTCTCTGAAGTTTAAAATAATTTAATCAAATTTCAAAATGAATGCTACCAACCCACCCCCCACCCAAAAAAACCACCCACAACAAAACTAAACTGTTGTGGCTGGGTGAGGTGGCTCACACCTGTAATCCCAGCATTTTTGGGAGGCCAAGGCAGGCAGATCACTTGAGGCCAGGAGTTTGAGACCAGCCTGGCCAACATGGCGAAACCCTGTCTCTACTAAAAAAAATACTAAAATTAGCCATGCGCGGTGGCGTGCACCTGTAACCCCAGCTACTTGGAAGGCTGAGGCAGGAGAATCGCTTGAACCCAGGAGGTGGAGGTTGCAATGAGTAGAGATTACACCACTGCACTCCAGCCTGGGCGACAGAGTGAGACTGTCTCAAAAAAACCCTAAACTATTGCTGGACAAGGTGGCTCACACCTGTAATCCTAGCACTTTGGGAGGTAGAGGCAGGTGGATCACTTGAGGTCAGGAGTTCAAGACCAGCCTGGCCAACAAGGTGAAACTCCGTCTCTACTAATATAAAAATTAGCTAGCCACAGTGATGCACACCTGTAATCCCAGCTACTTGGGAGGCTGAGGCAGGAGAATTGCTTGAACCCGGGAGGCAGAAGTTGCAGTGAGCTGAGATCATGCCACTGCACTCCAGTCTGAGTGACAGAGCAAGACTCTGTCTCAAAAAAAAAAAAAAAACCCATTATAATTTTGATGATTAGAATTATATTTATGTTAATATAATATTTGGGGAGATTTAATGTTTTTATTAAATTAAGCCTTTGTATCTAGGGATTTGATGTGTCTGATTATGTCTTATATGCTGCAGTCCTGTTTATAATTTTTCTTCTTATAACTCCATCCTCTTTTTATCTTTTTTGGTTAAATTTATTTTTACATATTTATATTTTTGTTGTCATTATTTTTACTAGCCCCATCTGCTTATTGCTAGTATAGGAATAACCTATTTTTATAATTTTCTCTCTTATTTATTTATTTATTTTGAGACAGGGTCTTGCCTTGAAGTTCACTGGCATGATCACAGCTCACTGCAGTCTCAGCCTCCCGTGCTCAAATGATCCTCCCTCCTCAGCCTCCCAAGTAGCTGGGACTATAGGTGTGCACCACCAGACCCAGCTAATTTTTTTGAGACAGAGTCTCACTCTCTTACCCAGGCTGGAGGGCAGTGGTGAGATATTGGCTCACTGCAACCTCTGCCTCCCAGGTTCAAGCGATTCTCCTGCCTCAGCCTGCTGAGTAGCTGGGACTGCAGGCACATGCTACTACACCCAGCTAATTTTTGTATTTTTAGTGGAGGTGGAGTTTCACCATGTTGACCAGGCTGGTCTTGAACTCCTGACCTCGTGATCTGCTGCCTTAGCCTCCCAAAGTGCTCGGATTACAGGTGTGAGCCACCGTGCCTGATGAGACCCAGCTAATTTTTGAATTTTTTTGTAGAGACAGGTTCTCCCTATGTTGCCCAGGTTGGTATCAAACTCCTGGACTCAAGTGATTCTCCTACCTCAGCCTCCCAAATGGCTGGGACTACAGGTGATAATTTTATCTTGTATCCAGCTCTTTATCAAAACTATCTACCTGTTCTGGTAGCTTCTTAGTATAGTTTTTTTGGTAGGTTTTCTAATTGTACAATCATATCAGCTATAGATGATATTCTCTATCTGACATTTGATATGATTATTTTTTCCTCCTTTTTTCACTGTTTCAGCTGCCTAAGAAGGTAGCCACTAAGCTCATTGACTGTTTATTTTATCTTTTTATTATTATTTTTTTGAGACAGG